CTTAAAAGGAAAATTAATTAAATGAATGAAATAAATTAAAAACAAGAATAAGACTAGCAGAAACTAGAAAACAAATCATCTCTCTTCAAAACACCCCCTAGCCCCCAGGCAGTTTGGTCTTGACACACGCAGTATCTTTCCAAGTCGCCACCTGAGGTTCATCTGGTCCCACTGCACACTTTGTCTCTCCTTTCAGGCCTGTGGGCCGCATTCATGTTCATGCCTGCTCAGGCAAACATGTTTCCACACTCGCAGATACTGGGTACTGCTGTTTTGGAACTTGGCTTTCATCAGCGTTCTGGGGTAGATACCCACTTGGAGAGACTGATAAAGTAAGACAAGTCAGGAGCTGAACTTCAAGTTGGAAGACAGAGTTTTACTTCTCTCAGAAAGAAAGAAGTCAATTTTACTGATGCCAGAGCAAACTTAAAAATAAGAGCACAGAGCTATCAGTTGAAACTTCTTGTAACACCTACCTCTGAAGGACATGGACTACCCTGGAATTTTACTCCTCTGTTTCTATCTTATCTCTTGGTGACTGGTTAATCTACTAGTGTTTAGGAGATACTCCTATCCCTTGGCTGCTGGTTCTCGGTTAATTCTACTTTATCCTCTCTTGCTTTTAAGCTACTTAGTTATCAAATATTTTTATGACATCCTTTTGATCTAAGTCCATCAAATCCAGTCTTCCTTGTTTGTTTGAATGAAAAATCAAGGCCAGGGGCAATTTACCTGGCTTTTTTACCTAAGATCTTATTTACCTAAGGCTTTTTTATCTAAGATCTTATTTACCTAAGGCTTCTTTACCTAAGATCTCTCACCAGTGGTGGTTTTCAGTGAACAAAACTTTAATATGCTTTAAAGAAAATTCAAACTACACAAACAAAACAAGTAGAAACTAGTACAGATATGTGGTATTTTTATTATTTGAACCCTTTCCACTGAAAACTGAACATAGACGTTCCTAGAAGGAATGAGGAACAGCATTTCCTAAGAAAACAGAACAAAATAATGTATTTGTCAATGAGCTATTTAAATAGAACCTACAGAACTATCTTTTGTAATCTCTTCCACAAAATCATATTATTAAATACTCTCTCATCCTTATTATCCACTGTACAACCCAGCCTCTTTGGGATAATATGACATACTAAAACTATAGAACAGTTTGTTGGTGATTTTTCTCTTACTAATGCCAAGTATCTTCCATGTTCCCTTATTGACAATTTTATTTACTACATTAGAGTTGTTGCTGAAGCTATTTTCATCGATGGCTAATTCAAGTTAAGCAATCAGGGTTGTCCCTCATTCATTTCTTACAAGGGACAAAGATCTTAGATGGCAGTTATATACGGTTCTAGTCATTTAGTCATTTCTTTAATTCATCAAGAAGTTTTATATATCTTTGCTGAATATCGCTAATCTTCAAGGCTGTAATACCACATAGCAGTTCTAGTCAATAGTTCCATTTCTTGATATCTAGTTTGCCTACAGGAAATTACATGAGCAGTTATACAGAAGTATATGAGGACTTGAGAATCCAAAGCAATCATCTATTACTATTGACTTTTTATGCTTATTTATTTACTTATTTTTTTTTAGAGAGAGGGGAAGGGAGGGAGAAAGAGAGGGAGAGAAACATCAATGTGAGTGAGAAACATCAACTGGCTGCCTTTGGTACACGCCCTGACTAGGAACCAAACCTGCAACCCAGGCATGTGTCCCGACCAGGAATACACCTGGCCACCTTCCAGTTTGTGGGACAATGCCCAACCGAGTCACACCAGCCAAGGCGATCACCTATGCTATTGAAAAAGTATGTGATGCTGAGCATGTTAGTTACCTTTGGAGCCTCAACTTAATAATTTGCTAATTTAATAAATTGATACAATGGAAAAAGTGCCATCTATTTCACAGGATATTGATCATTTTAAAACCTACCACATATAAAAAACAACTTGTCAGAAACTGATACATGGTCAGTATTCTGCATATATTTCTCAGATACCTATTATGCGACAGTTACTTTCTTTTTACCTTTATGGGCCATTTTATTGTATAATATCTATAAACTAGTCTTATATGAATTTCTCATCATTTTTATTTCACTTAATTGTTCTTTGAAGAAACAGGGATAATAGAAAATTAAGTTTTCTATGGAATATTTTAGGATACCTAAACTATTAGTGAAGTACTACTTACTACGGTCACATTCTCCCTACTTTTAAAAATCATATTCTATGTGGGAACAATAAAAATATGCTAGAAAAATCCAAACTAATGCACTCAACTAATAACATTCAACAGTATTTACAATAATACAATGTGATGGATGTTATTACTCTGTTCTCATTTCAGATCAATATTTCTAAATCTTTAGAACACGTTATATAGACAGAAATCTTAAGTCACTTTTTACAATGACAAATCACTTTTAAATGACAATGTTACCTATTTTTCTTCTAATCTCCACAGAAATCTTTCACATTCTCTCTAGAGCAGGCAGACTTGCTGTGTAAGGGGCATCATATCCCTTTCTGGCCACTGCAACGATCTCAGGGTTCTTTCCTGCTAAGCCCTCACTCATGCTTACAATTTTCTCAACAAATTTTCCAGGGGGTTGGACTTGATAATTGAGTAGAAATGAAACTCATGAGCCAAAAGACAAATAAAATGCCTATTAATAAGAAAACTTTTTATCTAAAAAAATATCCAAAAAGCCCAGTACAAATACATCACAAAATTTATGAAAATAATTGCCAAGTAAAATCAACTATAAAAGAAGACACTACTCTCTAAATGCAATTACTGTCCAATATCAAATGTCTACTCATAGTGATTTTTCAATTGTCTATAACTTTGTCTTTTGTTTTTAGAAAAAATCAAGACATTCAATAGTGAAAACTATGCATAGTTCAATCCCATCCATTTAATTCTTACACATGCTAGAAGAAAAGTACTTAAGTGTTTTTTAAGTAAAAAAAAAAAGGCCCAAGGGCATTAATTAAAATACAGTTCCACAGATGAAAAGCTCCTTGTAGTGAAAAAAAAAAAGTTATATTTTATGAGGCACAGGATAAGTTAACAAAACTTAGCAACAAAGAATACTTGTAAGAATTAGACCTGACACTCAGAATCTTTATAATGAATTCTAACAAAGGAAAACAAAGCAAACTAAGAAATCAAAATTCAAAGTGAAGGCTAAACGATTTTCTAAAATGACCATTCTGCCAAAATAAAAGTTCAAAATAAGTAACATTCAAAAGATCCAAATGATCTCCTAAGCAATATAAGCTCTATAACATTAAACTTCCCTGGGAAAGTTTAGGATCTTTGACATACACACTGACTTATTCAAGTACTCAGGGGAAAAATGCATAGCATGAATATACTATACTAATCTATATTTATCATCCTTCATTAGTATTGTAGAGACAATGCCTAGAGATCATTGTTTCTAAGTTAATTATTTGAAAATAGCTAGCTTCTAAATGTTTTGCTTCTACCTAAAAGACTTCAAAGAATCTAAATATTTTTATTCAAAGACCCAGATGATCTTATCATCTCAGCTGTAGACTGTGTCCAGCTACCCAGGCCTCTGATGGCCTCGTGTTCTAAGTCACATGTGAAGCACAGTATGATAATCACAGTGTCTATAACCGCTAAACCCTCTCGTCGTCGTGTTACTTAAGAAGAGCTGTATTTTATTTTGGGCAAGTGTAGGCAAGCTGATCCTGGTTCCTCTTAATTCAGCAGCCTACACTTGCCTCCACTGAAATGTCATTCTGTAAAGGAAGCAGACTGTTAGAGTGTTTAAAAGGGGCCCTGGTGTGAGATGTATCACAGTTTCATAGATGTCAAAGTTTCCAAACTATGAGAGAGAGAAAAGAAAGGGAGTGAGAGGAAAGAAACAAAGGGAAAAGAGAGGAGAAACAGATCAGAGGATTTCAAGTCAAACAGACCAGGGGTAAAGTAACTCTGTCACTCACTAGCAGTGTGGCCTTAGCAAACTGGAGGTCCCTGTGAAGTGGGACAGTAACAGTTCCTGCTTCAGGGGACTGTTGGGAGATTTGAATGAGATAACACATGGAGAGCACATACAGAATACCTGACATTTAGAAAGGTATCAAAATATTAACTATTCTATCAAGTTATTATTTTGTTGTTGTATCAAATAAGTTTGTCACAGTTTCATGAGTTATCGCTTAGGTTTACTATATTTAGGAAAATACTCAGTTCCTCAACAACATGATATAATCTTTGAAAAACTAGGAAAAATAACTGGGATCAAGAAATACGTAGTTTTCAATAAATATTTTCTTGGAATTTAGCTCCTGATAGAAACACAGACTCAAGCGCCAGAGTGCCTGGGTTTGAATCTCAAGTTGGCCACTTGCTGGTTGTGTGACTTGAAGCAAGTATTGACTCTGTGTCTCAGTTTCTATTAATCGGGGTGACAATATTCCCTTAGTGATACGGTGAGGATTAAATGAATTAATACGTGTAAACTGCTCAGGATAGTGCCTGGAATTTACTAAGTACCAGGTAAGTGTTTCCTTAGATTTAGTTGTTAATAATCCTCAAAATTGGCCAATGTTAAACCCAGCTACTCACAAGAGTAAACTAGACTAGGAGACTATAATTTGGACATTTATGATCTCTAAGCCTGAACTAAACCCTTATCTTACTACTCATTAGTTCTCTACATACACAAACTTGGTCACCTACAGGTAGATTCTACATATCAGACCTTAACGCCTGCTAGACTACTAGCACAATCCAAAGGCATATTATAGCTGTGCAGGCCTGCGTGTGTGCTTTAAGCTTAGAGGGAAGATCTCTTGTGTGGTTGGAATGCAATGTTTTTACTTTTACTTGTCTGTATTTTTTAATTTTCTGCCTGCACATGTGTTGCCTCTGTAATAAAAAAGGTTATTGTAAAATTTGGAAATGACAGAAACTCATATTTGTCTAAAGAAAAAATTCCACAAATTCCATACCTGTATTTATGAATGATGGCATTAAATAGTTTTCCATCTCTCCAGCAGGTAGTGAAATTTTCACACCGTATTCCAGCATAACCCTCCGTTGCCTGCTGTGTCCACAGGAGCAACCTCTCCTTCGCAGACATGTCCTCTGACTCTCCAGTAACATGGATATCAGATATCTAAACATAATGAAAAGTGTCAAATCAGTAGAAAGGAAGGATGCCAACTCAGAGTAAGAATCTACTATGTGCCAAACACTATACGAGCTTTATTTTACTTAATTCTGATAACTGTCACTTGTAAACTAAGCATATTTATCCCATTTTACATCTAGGGAAACTGAGTTTCAAAGAAGTTAACAGCCTTGGCTGGGTGGCTCAGTTGGTTGGAGCATCCTTCTATACATGAAGTTTGCAGGACCGTCCCCACTGAGGGCACAGATAGGAGGCAACCTATCAGTGTCTCTCTCCCCCCACCCAAATCAATGAACATATCCTCAGGTGAGGATTAAAAAGAATGAAATTAATAGATTGAAAAAGAGTAAATCTAAGCATCTAATTTTTTTCTTATAGCCAGATATCACTGCATTAAAAAATCTACATTCCCCCTGGCTGGCATAGCTCAGTGGATTGAGCTCGGGCTGTGAACCAAAGTGTCACAGGTTCGATTCCCAGTCAGGGCACATGCCTGGGTTGCAGGCCATGGCCCCCAGCAACTGCACATTGATGTTTCTCTCTCTCTCTCTTTCTCCCTCCCTTCCCTCTCTAAAAATAAATAAATAAACTCTTTAAAAAAATCTACATTCCTCCTGTTAATCAGATCTGTTAAAACAACTCAAGCAAATGTTTTTCCAAATTCAAATAGAACAAAAGTAAAACCTACAAATTAATCTACATTTCCACCTGCAGATCAGAATTTGATCCAACAGATATTGTGCAAAGAAGGAAAATGTGCTCTATCCAATTAAGTGCATTGCATAACAGGTTGGCCTAAGGTCTCTTTAATTTTCTCATGTGTCCTTGCTCAGCCTACTCAACGTGAAACCTTTCTCATCTGATTTTTCCCCATGCTTTTGGTTTTCATTAAATTTCCTAAAAGTTTCTTCCATTAAATAATAATAATAATAATAATAATAATAATAATAATAAACCAGATCACCAGTTCACATGATTTACGTTTTCTCAAGAAACAGAACTGTCCTCTGCTGATAATGATATTAAGGCACAAAGTGCCTTTACGAGGAGCCACACAGTAATTCCAAAGCTGCGATTAACACCAGCAAACAACTGTTCCCTCATTCAGTGCAAGGCACAAATCCAGAGGATTAGGAAGACAGGCAGCAAGCCAGGATCATGAAGAGCAAATAAGAGATTGGAAGCAGGACATAGGGAGGGACAAGTCACTTGGTAACAGGAAAAAAAAAATCACTAAAGTCACAAGATTGATTTCTAGTCCCAGCCACAAGTCCCATGACTTTGAATAATTTATTTCATGTCTATGAGTCAACTTCTCCATCTATAAATGAGAAGGTAGGGGACAGAAGCAAATAATGTTTGAGTCTTTCAGCCTAAAATTCTATGAGATTATAAATACAACACAAAAGTCAGAGGTCAAAATAGGCAGAGTCAAGTAAGACAGTAGAGAATTAACAACAACAAAAACCCCACCAGACTAAAGAAAGCCTTCAGTCACTGTGGCAATGCCAAGCTCAAACAGGAAGCCCTTTATTCCTCCCAGCTGCTACAGGAGCCAGAGGGGTGCCCAACCCAGGGACCTGAGGCTACAATGCTCCAGCAGCTCAGGACCATGCCAGGCCTGGCAGCCCCCAACACCACCACCTGGGGATCATCGCCACGCACACCCTTTCTCTGGGATTCAGCAGAGGCAGCCATGCCCTATCGAGCTCCACTCACAGCCACAGCAGGGACATGCTCCTTGACAGGTGGCCAGGATTTTAACCATCTTTCCTGTGTATCTGTGTTAACATCGACAGCATGGAGAAAAACTGTGTTCGTGAACACATTATAAAGGATATATAGAAGAAATGTCTTTTCTTTTTTTTTTTTTGAATGTGAGAAAGAGCTGAAAAACCACCAATATTTTCCCATCCAACTTCCAACTGACATTCTGGTTTAAGATTATGCTGGAGAATCTTTCTAGCACACTGTGTAAGCTTAAATCACATCTCCAACACTTTTAAAATAATGATGGTAACACTTATTACACTGTGCGGTGAGAATTCAACAACATAGCACCTGGTGTGTAGTAAGTGCATGCTCAACGTGTCAGCTCTTTTATTGTGATTATTATTCTTTTTGACAAAGGGAGGAGCACAATCTTGGCTTCACTGTCCTCCCAATTCTCTTCCTGTGAGGAGGAGTAAAAGGTAAAGCTTTTCAACTTGCTGCCTTAAAATAATTAAAATCTACAAACACAAGGGTTCAGAGAAACTAACCTAGGAAACTGTGTAAATGAAAACATTAAACCTCTAGGTAAAATTTCACAGGTCCCTTTTTACCTTTACAAATTATAATACTAACTACTTTGGGGACCCTTGCAATGCAGAAGAAGCTACATGGGTGGTATTCATAACTATATAAAGAAAAAGGGGGTAGCTGGGGGAGGGGGGCTATTTTCTCCTGGGTCAGGAACAGTCCAGGCCAGTGCAGTCAAAAAAGTAATTACCTAGTAACAAGGGAAGTCAGTAAATTTCAACTGCAAGGTACCAATTTAAGTTTAATAGGTTCAAGTGCTAAACAGTATTTTACCCCAGGAATGATGTTAAAGGAGGAAAAGTTTACAAGTCTGAAAATAGTCTAAACATCAACCAAGAGAAAATCACATATTCTTATTAAATAAGTTTCTTTCTAATAGATAAACTTCAGGCAAATAGATAATGGGCAATAGATTAAATATACACAAAAATTTCAGTGTTACACATGCATATACTATTCAAAAGGCTATAATTTAAAAATCCATACTCAAACATATTATGAACCAAACTTCAACATATCAATTACTAACACATTAACTTATTTTCAGTTTCTCCTGCTGTTTCCAATTAACTGATATTACCCCCACGTGGACATGCAAGGTATTTTTTTAATATATTGTACCATCATTCACTATCTATAGAGTATATCAAACTGTTGGTGACACCATGTAGCCAAAATGAAAAAGAAAAAGAAATTAATGGCAAAAATTGTAAACCTGCTCTTGTCTTCATGACCCCGATGTAAAATCAGCAGGACAGCCTGAATGCCCCAGCAATAATCACCGGTCAGGCTGGGCACTAGAAGTAATCAGGCCTCTTTTTGTCAAATCCTGGGGCAGCACAGTGATGATGAGGAAGGTTTCAATTCCTGCTGCCTGGGTTCACATCCCATTCTCCAAGAGTTAACAGATTTTGTAACTTTAGTTTTCAATTACACTCTACATTCAACATTATTTTATTACTTTCAGGTGGATAGCACAGTGGTTAAACAATCCTGTACTTTACAAAGTGATCCCCCCGATATTCCCTATGCTGGACTTTACACCCCATGACTATTCTGTAACTACCAATTTGTACTTCTTAATCTCTTCACCTTTTTCACCCAGCCCCCAAACACCCTCCCCTCTGGCAACCATCAGTCTTGTTCTCTGTAACTATGAGTCTGTTTCTATTTTGTTTGTTCATTTATTTTGTCCTATAGATTCCACATATAAGTGAAATCATATGGCATTTATCTTTTTCTGACTTATCTCACCTAACATAATACCCTCTAGGTCCACCCATGCTGTCCCAAATGATGAGATTTCATTCTTTTTTGGCTCAGTAATACTTTACATCTTATCCACTCGTCTACTGATGGAAAGACACTTGGGCTGCTTCCACATCTTGACTATTGTAAATAACGCTGCAATGAACACAGAGGTACATACATTCTTTTGAATTAGTGTTTTAAAGTTTCTTTGAATATATATGCTGAAGTGGAATTGCTAGTTCCTAAGGCATGTAGTAATTCACACCTGTACCAATCCACATTCCCACCAACAGTGCATGAGGGTTTTCTTTTCCCCACATCCTCGCCAACATTTGTTGTTTGTTGACTTATTGATGACAGCCATTCTGACAAGTGTGAGGTGCTATCTTATTGTGGTTTTAATTTACATTTCTCTAATAATTACTGATGTTGAGTGTTTTTTCATATGTCTATTGGCCACCTGTACTTTTTGAAGTATTTATTCAAGTCTTCTACCCACTTTTTAATTGGATTGTTTGGTTTTTTGATGTTGAGTCATATGTGTTCTTTGTACATTTTGAACAGTAACTCCTTTTACCACACGTATCACTGGCAAATATCTCCGCCCATTCAGTAGGTTGTCTTTTCATTTTGCTAATGTTTTCTTTTACTGTGCAAAACCTTTTTAGTTTGATGTAGTCCCATTTCTCTATTTTTTTCTTTTGTTTCCCTTGCCCAAGAAGATATATAAGAAAAAATATTGCTAAGAGAATTGTTAAAGATTTTACTGCCTACGTTTTCTTCAAGTTTATGATTTTGGATCTTCATTTACATCTTTAATCCATTTTGAGTTTATTCTTGTGTATGGTGTAAGTTGGTGATCTGCTTTCATTTTTTTGCATGTATCTGTCCAATTTTTCTAACACAATTTATTGAATAGACTGTCTTTACCCCATTGTATGTTTTTGTTCCCTTTATCATATATTAATTCACCATATAGGCATGGGTTTATTTCTAGGCTCTCTATTCTGTTCCTTTAATCTATGTGTCTATTTTTTATGCCAGTACCATGCTGTTTTGATTACTATAGCTTTATAGTATAGTTTGGTATCAGGGTGTGTAACACCTCCAATTTTGTTCTTCTTTCTCAAGATTTCTGTGGCTATCCTGGATCTCTTGTTGTTCCACATAAGTTTTTGGATTATTTGTTCTAGTTTTGTGAAAAGTGCCATTGGTATTTTGATAGGAATTGTGTTGAATCTGGGTAGCATGGACATCTTAACAATAATAATTCTTCTTATCCCTGGGCATGGTATGTGCTTCCATTTATTTGTATCTTCTTCACTTTCTGTCTTTTTTTAAATGGTGTGCATAGCATTTTTATCATACAGTAAATTCCATCCATTCATTTACTTTTCTGAGTTGTCCTACATGCAAGTACATTTTTTCATCTT